CAATCTTGGCTAATAGCCATTGATCCTCCACACATTTCTCTTAACTTTTTTTTTAATCCAGTTGTACTTTTGGCCTTCACAACAGCCCCTGTTTCCAAAGTTTGAATGTGCGTTGTATGAATACTTTCTTTTGTTTGTATTAAACCTGCTGCCTATTCATGTCTTTGGTTCTTTGTTATGCAAAGGGGTACATAACACTTCCTTGTTCATTTTCTCTGTACCATTCATGACCTTGTAAATCTCTATCATATCCACCCTTAATCGTCTCTTTTCCAAGCTGAAGAGTACAATCTTTTTAATCTCTCCTTTTGGAATCTGTTCCATACTCCTAATTTTTGTTGGCCTTCTCTACCCCCCTTCCTATTCTAATGTATCTTCTTTGAGATGAAGTGATCAGAACTGTATGCAGTGTTCAAGATATGGGTGTGCCATGGATTTATATAGTGACATTGATATTTTCTGTTTTATCTATCCCTTTGCTAGTGGTTCCTAATGTTCTGTTAGCTTCTTTGGTGGCTGCTTCACATTGAGCAGATGTTTTCAGGGAACTATCTACTCCAAGATCTTTCTTGAATGGTAACAGCTAATTTTTAGGTCCCATCATTTGGTAAATGTAGTTGAGATTATTTTTCCAATGTGCATTACTTTGAACTAATCAACACTGACTATCTGGTCCTGCGTAATTTATCAGTTTGTTCCGAAACCTCCAATATTGACACTTCAATCTGGGACAGGTCCTCAGATTTGTCTCCTAAAAAGAATAGCTTGGGTGTAGGGAATCTCCCTTAGATCTTCTGCAGTGAAGGCAGGTTCAGAGAATTAGGTTAGTTTATCTGCAACAGCCTTATCTTCCTTGAGTGCTCCTTTAGAACCTCGATTGTCCAGGGGCCCCACTGATTGTTTGGCAGCTTCCTGCTTCTGAAGTACTACATTGTTTTGCTGTTAGTTTTTGTGTCTTTAGCTAGCTGCTCTTCAAATACTTTCTTGCTCAGCCGTCTTATACTTTGACACTTGACTTGCCAGAGTTTATGCTCCTTTCTATTTTCCTCAGTAGGATTTGACTTCCAATTTTTAAAGGATGCCCTTTTCCCTCTAACTGCCTCTTTTACTCTGTTTTTTAGCCATGGTGGCATTTTCTGGTCTTGTATATTCCAAATAGGGTTGTCAAGCAATTAAAAAAATTAATTGTTCGATTAATTGCCTCTTAAACAATAATAGAATACCATTTATTTAAATATTTTGGGTGTTTTCTACATTTTCAAATATGTTTCAATTACAACACAGAATACAAAGTGTGCAGTGCTCACTTTATATTTTTTTTATTACAAATATTTGCACTGTGTAAAAAAAATAGTATTTTTCAATTAACCTAATACAAGTACTGTTGTGCAATCTCTTTATCATGAAAGTTGAACTTACAAATATAGAATTATGTACAAAAAATACACTGCATTCAAAAATAAAACAATGTAAAACTTTAGAGCCTACAAGTCCAGTCCTCCTCCTTGTTCAGCCAATCACTTCTACAACCAAGTTTGTTAACATTTGCAGAAGATAATGCTGCCTGCTTCTTGTTTACAATGTCACCTGAAAGTGAAAACGGGCATTTACATGGCACTGTTGTATCCAGCGTCGCAAGATATTTACATGACAGATGTGCTAAAGAGTCTTATGTCCCTTGATGCTTCAACTATCATTCCACAAGACGTGTCCATGCTGATGACCATTTCTGTTCGATAACAATCCAAAGCAGTGCAGACCGACGCATGTTCATTTTTATCATCAGAGTCAGATGCCACCAGCAGAAGGTTGATTTTCTTTTTTGGGAGGTTGGGTTCTGTAGTTTCTGCATCAGTGTTGCTCTTTTAAGACTTCTGACAGCCTGCTCCACACCTCATCCCTCTCAGATTTTTGAAGGCACTTCAGATTCTTAAACCTTGGGCCGAGTGCTGTAGCTATCTTTAGAAATTTCACATTGGTACCACCTTTGCATTTTGTCAAATTTGCAGTGAAAGCGTTCTTAAAACAAACATATGCTGGGTCATCATCCAAGACTGCCATAACCTGAAATATATGGCAAGTAAAACAGAGCAGGAGACATACAATTTTCGCCCAAAGAGTCCAGTCGCAAATTTAATTAACGCATTATTGTTTTAACGAGCATCATCAGCATGGAAGCATGTCCTCTGGAACGAAGGCTGAACCGTGAAGAAGCATATGAATCTTTAGTGCATCTTGCGACGCCAGCTACAACAGTGCCATGCGAATGCCTGTTCTCACTTTCAGGTGACATTGTAATTAAGTGGGCAGCGGTATCTCCCATAAATGTTAACAAACTTGTTTCTCTTAGTGATTGGCTGAACAAGCAGTAGGACTGAGTGGTCTTATAGGCCTTCCTGCATGTGCTCCTCTTTTCTCAAAAGGTGCCCCAGTTCCTAATAAATCTAAAGCCCTCCTCCCTACATCATTGCCTCATGTATGCATTGAGACCCTGCAGTTCTGCCTGTCTTCCTGGCCCTACACCTGGAACTGGAAGCATTTCAGAGAATGGTACCATGAAGGTCCTGGTCTTTGATTTCTTACCTAGCAGCCTAAACTTGGCTTCCAGGACCTCTCTCCTATCTTTCCCTATGTCATTGGTACCTACATGTACCACGACCACCGGCTTCTCCCCAGCACAGCACATAAGGCGGTCTAGATGTCTTGTGAGATCTGCAACCTTTGCCCCCAGCAGGCAGTTCACCATCCGGTTCTTCCTGTCATCACAAACCCAACTCTGTTTCTAATAATTGAATCTCCCATTACTGTTACCTTTCTCAACCTAGTAACTGGGTTCCCCTCCCGTGTAGGGGTATCTTTAGTGTGAGAGGATACCAGGACATCATCTGGAAGAAGGGTCTCAACTATGGGATTGTTTCCCTCTGTTCCAGCTTGATGCTCTCCTTCCCCAAGACACTCATTCTCCTTAACAGCACAGAGGCTGTCAGTCTAGGGTGCAACTGCTCTTCTGTATCCCTGAAAGTTTCCTCTATGTACTTCTGTCTTCCTTAGCTCCTCCAGTTCAGCCACTCTGGTCTCAGGAGTCTGTACTATGTCTCTGAGGACCATGAGCTGCTTGCACTGAATGCGCACATGCACCACCTACCCACAAGCCAGGTACCCGGACATGCTGCATTCAGTGCAATAAACTGTATACCGCCCACTCTGCTGCTGGACTCTGCCTGTGTTGTTTTTTTCCTTGTGTAGGTGGGTTTGGTTTGGTTGGGTTGGATTGGGTTTGGTTAGGTTATGGGGATATTATTGGGCTAAATTTAGAATGTTTGTTAGATGTTTCTTCCTCTCCCACTCCCTCTCTAACATTCACTGTTTCCTGTTTCTGTTCGTTGGCTCGTCTTCATTATTATCCCCGGCTGATTCAAACTAAGTCTCTTTAAAAACTCCATGTCTCTCCAACAGGTTGGCTTGTGAGTCACTTTCAAATATTTTTTTAAACTCTCCCGAATGTCTGCGTACACTAGTAGATTTTTATAGAAAAGTTTGAACTGCCTGGTCCTGGAGCAGCTTCTAGGTCTGTATTTGTGAGGCAGTAACAAAGCATTAAGTCCTGTCCTACAATCAAGGCAAAATGTCTTTTGCCAATAGCAAGCACTCAAGCTGTGTTTTATGTTCCTGCACAGTCTACTCTGGCTTGGTTGGCAAATTAAACGATTGCTTGCTTTTCCCAGCAAAAATCACTGCCTTTAACTGTCTGTCTGTAGCTGTAAAGTTCAGATCCAATCTCTTCCTCCGCCTCCCCCCATCACCATGATTGGATCGCTAACAGCCAGGATGTTCATACTGAGGCTGAACCTCAAGCATGCTCAGCAGCATGCTTCTCTGTGGTCAGTATTTGTATTGCCGACAACTAGGCCCAAACCCTTCCTCTCACTGGCACGCCAGCATACAGCATTCTGCCACCTCTTTTGAGTGGTAGCTTAGTTATGTTGCTCTTCCCAGCCCCTTCTTCTCCCTATCCATCAGGACCCCAGTTCCATTCCCACTCAGCCCTTCCCCTTTAGCTGGTATCTCATCTCTCCCTCTTTGAACTGATAACTTTATTCTGTTCTCTGCTCAGCCCTGTCTCTCTCTGCCCCTGACGCACCTAAGTTCTCTTGGTTCTATTCCCACTCTGCCCCTCGGACTGGCTGCTCACTTGCTGGGACTGATGTCACGCGACCTGTTCTCATCCTCCCCTGTTGTCTTTGTCTGGTGGTCAGGGAGCCTGATGGCACAACTTATTGCTCAGAAGCCCAGGACAAGATGTTTTTCCAGCTTGCTCCCGAGGAGATGTGCAGCTGCATGGCTGTAAAGCCAAGCTGATAATGCTCCTGTTGTTCCTCTTATGCACTCTCTCTTTCCCCTTTCCAGCTTCCTATCCTGCATACGGTGCCTTTGCTGACGTGCTGCACATGGTGAACCTGAGAAACCCCCAGGACACATTCCGGGATGGCAGCTAGGTGACGACAGCTGAGGATGACCCTGACTGAAAAGCTGCGCGAGAAGATATCGCGGGCGTTCTACAACCACGGGCTGCTGTGTGCTTCATACCCCATTCCCATCATCCTCTTCACTGGCCTCTGTATCCTGGCCTGCTGGTAAGTGCTGCAGAATACTTGTCTGCACAGGTCATTGCTCGGGTTCTTTCTCTGAGCATGCACGCTGTGGTATGTGCTGTCCCTGAAGTGTTTGGTTTAACGTAGGAGCTTCCAGTCATTGTCATGCTGAGGAAGAAAATGGGAAGCCAGGGACAAAATATCTTGATGTGTAAAAGCAGACCAACTAATGGTCAACTCTGGAACCAGAAATAGGAGGCAGGAAGGGGAAATGATGGTCTTCCCCTCCTACCTACACAATATTCAGCCTAAACTACTGTTCCTGGAACTTCGTCATCTTATCCTTATCCAGCCCAACCTTAGCTCATCTGCCCAGTTCTTGTTCTTGTAACTCCTGATTGCTTGGCTCTTCCTCTGAAAATAGGGACTCAGATGGGGAGGTGGGGTGCACTTACTATTATTGGATAATCGGGGATGTTGGGCTGGTTCGTAAGAGGCCATTATTATTTAGACTGGGGTCTTGGGGACTATGGCAGTTGGGACAGGGGACCCTGTTGTGCTAAGCACTGTGCAAAGACACATGAATAGCTTCTGCTTTGAAGAGCTTATACTCTAAATACCTGCCTAAAATGATCAACATTAACTAAAGGGTGTAAGTTGATCTGTTATCACCTGCCTCTTCTCCTCTCCAAATCCCTGCTTTTAGGAGGCCTCCAAACTGTGTTAAAATAGATGATAAAGAAATGCCCCTTGAGCACTGGTCTTCTACTTGCTGTAGGGCAGCTTCCTCCATATGCATAACACTACAAGGAAGTGATATTATTTACTATTTCTGTAGTTCCCGGCACCACCTTATTTAAAGAGAAATTTCCAAAAATGTGTTGGACAGCTGCTGAAGAGTGTGAAATAAAAGGGGCCTTTCTCCGTGTTTGGCAATGTCCCATGGCATGGGAATGTTGGCCCTAGGATTAAAAACCTCCTAATGAATATTACTGATGTATCCATTACTAATAGGTCTGGGTCTCCATTTGAGAACACAGAATTACTCTTAATAGCACTGAGGCATGCTCTGGAAGAAGAGGAAGTTGCCTGGTATCTTGTGGCTCCGAATATAGTTGACTAAATTCCATCATAGTAGCAATTTCCAGAAGGGATTGGTTTCTCTGTTGTCAGTTGATCTGAAGAACGTCCATCTGAGTGTCCCATACAGGATATCTCCACTTCACAATAGGCATTACCAGTACATTGCTTCACCTTTTGGCCTACCTGCCTCTCTAACTTGTGCTTTGAACAGCACCCTAAACATCTTAGTTTCCTCGGGTAAAAAGGGGTCCTGTATATCCATTTTAAAACTACCTGCTCACCTGAGCACCCAGCCTGGGAAAGGCCCATGGAGCAGCCATCACACAGCCAAGATTATATTGTGGAGTAACACGGATTTGTCAACATTGAGAGCTGTATGACAAGGCACAAGGATATTTGTTTTCTAGTCACATCTGTCAGGGCTCTGATGTCTTGAATCAGAATGATGATGTCTTACACCAAAGTACTATTGAGAGTGAGATTCCCTCTGGGTCCTCTCCAGAAATTTCCTAACTTCAGCGTACAGGAGCCATCATCACCCCTTCTCTTGTCCCATTGTCGAAGGGTACCCGGAAGGGCACAGTATGTCAGAACTGGAAATGGAATTAATTTTTTCCACCAACCAGCTCCAAGAGCAGGGATGATCCTTTGGGCAGCAGTTTCATCCAAGATCAATGAAAGAACGGGCCTCCCTCACAGTACCACTTAGATCAAGCTTAGAGCACTTAGGCTGTGAGAGCTGTAACTCAGTCCTAGTCAGCCAAGACGTACGGGTACAACACTTGTGCAGTGGATTTCATCAACAGGAAAGGAGTAACACATCCTCAGCACTGGTGTGAGTGGCTAATATTCTCTGTTCTAGGTGAAGGGAAGAAGCAGCAGGGGGCAGGGAAGGGGAAAAAAGTCTTCTGCATGTTCAAGCACTACATATAAACAGGCAATAAACATCAAAGCAGCTGGTTAAGCAGAAATAAGCTAAATCCAGGAGAGGGGAGTCTGCATCCCAAGATTTCTGAGTGGAGGCCCTGGGTTGCATCCCCATCAATGGACCCATGTGCATCCAGGTCCAGATCTAGCAAAGATCCTGGACCCTTATTCCAGATGGCGATCAATAGGCTGTAGCTATGATCACGTGCATTCTTCTTTGGGCAAAATCATGAGTGAATTTCTGTTAATAATTTTCTCCAGGGCAGTTTAACAAAAGTGAGCTGGGTTGGCCCCATGTTGTCCAGGAGTGTCTAGGTTCTCACCTCCAATTCAGATGGCAAGCACCGCTCAGATATTCCTTCTCTTCAAGAAGGCTCTATTCTCAAAACCCAAATTCCACAGCCAAGCCCAGAGTAATGTAGCTACAGGATATTTAAGAGGTACCAGTTACAAACACATCCAAATAATCTTTTTTATTATACCTTTAGCCTTGAGAAAGTATGCCATAAACAGGGCATTTTTAAGGGCCTGGTCTGTAGGGAAGGCATAGTGCTAAGTCATTAGAATGGATCGATCTACTCAAGGCAAGGGCAAAGCATATCTTTTTGGAGTTCTTACAGTAACGTTTTTTAATAAAGGCCTAAGACCTTTGATTGAAGTCCATTTGGTAGGCATTGCCAGATCACTAGAGACTGCAAATGGGCATGGGATTATCCTCTCACTCAGACATAAAATTCCTTAGAGCTGCCTTACTTCTCAACTCTACACCAGTGAGGAAAACTCCCTGCTGGGAACTAAATCTTGTTTCAAATGCCCTGATTAGGGAACCCTTTGATCCCTTATAAGAAGTGCCATTAGATTTTCTAGCTTCAAAGGTTGTCATCCTGACTTCAATCAATTGGGCATGGTGTATTGTGTTTGTTTTTTGTTTTTGGGTTTTTTTTTGGAACTTAAGGTCATATGGGGAGTTGCAATCCTGCATATTTCATGAAGGCAAATTTTGCTAAGAGTTAACATAGCCTTCATTCCCCAGATAAATCTGGTTACAATAAAGTGTTTTCTTCCAGCCTTCTTGACTAACATGCAAAACACACTTAATAAATTTAAACAACCAAACAGAAATGAGCACATCTCTGGCATGGTCTGTCAGCTCTTAAAACAAACAAACAAACAAAAAACACACCACCATTGAATGCAGTACTAAATTCCATCAGTCTCTAGATTTGTTGGTCTAGAACACCCATCATAAACTAAATGAAGCTACCAAGGCTTCAGTTATTAGATGGCTAAATTGTTGCTTTCAAGAAGCTTTCCAAGATTGAAGCCATCTTTCTCCTCAAACGCTCATGTTCGTAAAGCCTCCTGTCCTGAAGGACCATATGAAACATATAAAGAGATGTTGGGTGGTCACCTAGTCATGGAAACATGCTTCCACACTTTCGCCAAATGTTACAAATTAAACGTGCATGCCTCATCAGCCCCTGCTGTGGAGGAGGGCTCTGCCTACTATGCTCACCCATTAACGGATATATAGTTAGATGCAGTTTTGGGGGATTTGTAATCTTCTCATCCATCTTTTGCTTCCCTCTCTGGTGAGACACTTGCTATTGGACATGCCAGTCTGGTGGATCTGGAGACTGTCCCTGCAAAGAATCGCAAAATTCCTTAACTGGCCTGAAAATGTCCTTTCTTCTAGTAGGAAAGTCTGCAAATCAAACCCACCTGGCACAAGGACTAAAGTTTAAAGGAATTAGCTCGAACTGGCTGTGGCGTCATAGGTTGTGGCTGTTTCTAGCCTGACTTGATTGAAAGGTCTGGTTCTGCCTCCAGTGAACTCGAAGCAAGGTTAAGGCCCATTGTAATGGATCTGTGGACTTTCCCGCTAGAGAAGAAAGGACGTTTTCAGGTGAATCGAGACATTTTTGTATTTTACTCAATTGCTAATCTGACTTCAGCTGTTTTTAACTCTTAGAGCTAAGCTACTTTATGTTCCCAATACCCAAAGGCACCGCAGTCTCCTGGGGGAGTGACTGATGAAATTAGAAGCAAATACGCTGCGGAATGGGACTACCCTGGTCTGTTTCCAAAATAAACCAAACTGGTGGTACAGAGATAAAAATATGAAAATCTTTGCCCCCACGATGCACATTTGTTTTTTGGGGGTCCTGAGAGCAGGGCACGGTCATGAAGTCCTCAGTGGAATGCAAACAGTACTCATTTATCATTCAGAAACTGGCATCTCACCATTATTAGCCTAGGTTTGTGCATTTACCAGAGTTAAACAGTGAACCACTGTTGCCAGCAGCTGGCTGTGAACCAGACCATCCCTTGCCATTGCCACCCCTGCCCACGGATAATTACTGGCCTAGAAAACAAAAACCTGGTTAACCAAAAACCATATAGATCACGTGTGTCTTGCACTGCTCCCTGAATCCTGTCAAGCTCTTTTAGGACCACAAGTGGGAATGAATTGAAGTGTAGAGGGTCCCTCAGCCTTGTTTCTCTTGGACAACAGGCAGCAAGAACACTTCAGCCAGTGGAATCTCTCACTGGACCCAGGTGGTGAGGTTGCGCTGTTTTCCTGGTCTCAGCCAGACTGGGGATTGGCTGAGAGCTCTTCTAAAGCATATATTATCATGATACCTGTGTGTGCACAGGGTGCTGGTAACTAGTAGGTTCCCTCCTGTAAGGGCTGGCAGGTCTCCATCCTTCTTTGGCTTATTCATTAGCAGAGGGTCCCTCTGGGATAATGTGGAGATGGTGCTGCTGAGTTGGGGAAACCTCAGGAGTAGATGGCGGAGGTGACTTCTGCTCTTCTGATTCAGTGTTTTTGAAGAAGGCTTGCAACTGTAGGGTTGGCAGTTCTGCTGGGTCCTCGGCTGCTCTTAGCTCAACTGGCAGTTCTCCAGCCTGCCTCTCTATGATGTGTTGAAAAGATGTAAAAACAAATGGGACATAAATATATTTGCTTGGACTGCATCATACTGTATCTTAATTACTTGAGTTCAGCAGTAATTGAAACCTGCAGGTGA